CAACTTTCACCAAAGCCTGGACGTGTTCGGTGTCCTATTACAGATTTATAGGTTATGGCTATCGTTTACGCGCGCGTGACAGGATTCAGACGATCGACCAGTTGCGGCCGTCAGCAAATGAGGTTAGCGGCTGTTCACTCGCCGGCAGCGAAACAAGTGCCGACCGGTCGGTAGGTCCAAAACGAATTCGCCTCGGAACGTGGCCTTTGGTTGTTTTTGTGCACCGATCGCGACCACTAGGTGATGGGCGTGTCAACAAACACCGGCCGGACGTGGCGACCAAGTGCAGATGAACGAGTGTGCAATTTAACGCCCAATCGCCAATAGCTATGGCAAGCACCAAATCGAGATTCGAATAATAGGCGATTGTGCCGAGTTGACCAGCGCCTTGCGTCTCAGGATGGTTTTTACACGTTGAAGTACGGTATATTCTCGATTTAACTGACCCCGATCCAATGGACATGTGATTTGAAGGACAAAATGCTCATTGTTTGCCTTTTCCTTTTTGGTTCGGATGGCCGTACTTCGGCGTTACTCTCAGTTGCGAGCGCTTGTTGACGACTTGGGCTCATTTATTGACTCATCATCTAATCTTGAACTTAAACCGTATTACTCTCACTTATGAACTTCCAGAGAGACTATTTGTCGTAGGCAGAAATCTTCTAAAACACAAATGAAAATAAATGTTTCCTTCAACCCAATAAGACGAGCGAAATTTTAATCACCTGAATCTGGTACCTCCTTTCAGACGGTGTCAGCGTTTTTTGCCAGACTGGATAGTAAACAACGGGAAAGATCAAAATAATTCTTCGTCCGACGATGAATAGACGTTATAACATGTTTTTAGATAAAGCTGGGGTTTAATTTTTGTTACGAAGGATGTACACTTGCAATAAATAATAAATGTAAAATGCATGGGATATTTATGTTTTTGCACGTAAGCAAGGCGTATGCTGCACTGCATAAAAATATACGGTTTCTTATATAATTTCCCCCTGGTTTCATGTAGGCTTTATTTTACGCAGCGTTTAAGTTAACAGACTTTTCTAATTCACGGAACCCGCTTCCTTACAAGTAATCCGTTAAGTCGAAGATATTTTGTATGTACTCTAACAATTGGGCAGGCAATCCGTAAATCTGATGAGAGTACCAAGTTATGGGGCGAAAATGCGGTGAAGCGAATGCCCTTCACTTTCCATGCCAATTTGGAAAAACTATTCTGAACTCTGATAAATGTTCGGCTACTGAAGAAATGGTATACAGTCTTGTTAGACCAGACTACTATGGTCTCAGTGACCATTCATTTCATCAAGGTGCTAAGCAGGAATTATGATGTAGCAAATGTGTCTGACTTGCTATTATAATCAAGATTTTGGTCATGAGACCTGCACTAAACTCTAATGGAGTCGTTTGCCACTGAGACAATAGTAGGTAAGCCAAAAAAAGTGCTGATATTTCCATGATAGTTCTCCGAGAGGGACTCTCTTATGATCAACAGGGGAGGAAGAAATGATAAACGTTGTTGTCATTACACGATCATTCGAATGATTGATGGTTCGGGGCACCAAATACAGCAGATGGCAAACAGCTTAATGTCGACGCTTTTCACTGCACAGACCGCATCACCATCAGGGCTTTGATATGATCACCATCGTTTCAGCCTTCATCACAGGTCTTCACGGTTACCATAGCAGTTAAACTAATACAAGCCCACCGGACCTCATCATGCGAAGCAATCCGTTATTTGATCGTTGTCCGCCCCTGTGACAAGTACGAGATGATGGTTCTTTGGGAGCAGCTGTAATTAGCTCAAAGTGGTAACCTGAAAAATGCTGTTGACCCTTCCAGGCCTTGGAGATGAACCAACCGTTTCTCTGTTAAGAAAAATATTCATCGCCTATCTTATCTCCTTCGTGACTTGTTCCCACTTGCCTGTGCCTGGAACGTGAAAAGTGAATTATCAGAAGGCGGGCATTTCATATGCAATCATTATTTGTTTTCGGTCGTACGCTTTTTGCAGTTATATCAATGTACACATAACTTTAAAAAAAGGCAATATCACATGTCATATACTGACGTACGACGTTCAAGCCCGCCCCTCAGCAACAGGATTCCTCATTGATACAGCGTGAATATTGGAATCGAGAGGTCAAGGCTCGGTCCCGTTCATGTCACTCGCCCTTCTTCCTTCTGGCACGTATAAATGAGTGTAATTTCATTTGAAGGAAGCTAGAGACCACGTGCTGTGTAAGTTACAGAGCTATGGATGTAACCTTAATAGAGAACAGTAGATCACCACTGGGTGGCGAAGCAACGCTAGAAAATCATCCCGTACATAGGCGACGTTTGATCATGGGCATGTATGAGAGGTGTCCTACCCTTTTCAATAGTTGCGAACTATCCTTGTTTCTCAAGAACAGCTTTCAGAGTACAGTAGGTTTTCGTTGTTGTTGGTGATTGTCGACCACAACTGCAATTTGCTGGCTGAACAGCCACTGCCAACAAGTCAACCAATGAAACCACGTTGGAGGCATAAACTGAAAGGTTGATTGAACCTCCCCGTTCAGATGGACCAACAGTTGTTCTTGGATGTTTATGAAAACCATCTGATCTGTTTCTGTCTCGAAAAGGCCTAAAGGTTCTTTA